TTCAATTTAATTATTGAATTAAATATAACTTTATGCTTTGACTTTATTCAACAATTTTCAGTAATTATAGCAGATATAAGCGATAAAGTTAATGGAGATTCAGAGTTTGTACTGCAAAAGCGTCACTTGGATAATTTCCTTAACAATTACTTTGGACGCACGTATCAACCATGTCTTTTAGTGTTGAAGTTTGGTTGGTCAAAGTTCTACGTGGATGAAAAAAAATATTATGGATTTAATTCTAGAAACGGTTCACTTCAGCATCCAGGTATGTAGGTATACGTTTTCATTTTGCTAAGACATGGAACGGTTCAGTGCGTTAACGAGTATATACTATTATATACATATTATCTTCATATATATATATAATTACTATCTAAGTAGTGTTTAAAGGTTTATTATGTATGTGCTCAGTGGTATTTACATATTTATTTATACATCGAACAATGTACTGTAATTGTAATATAATTTTTACATACTGATATTGTATTATGGCATTCAAATTTACTCACCGAACTAATAGCACATGTTTACTGCGAATTTATCGAAATTACCAAGTATGGTTATCATATTTGGGTTATTTATACTTTAATTTTATGAGATCTTGTGGCAGTCGCGTAGCGTGAGGGGTGCAGGCGGCACCAGAGAACAAATAAATAAAGAGAACGGACACTCTCCGCCTCTCCCTAGCTTTAGATACCGCACCACGCCCCGCACATTGATGGTCACATTGACTGAACGAGAACAAGGCTGTCGGCGAGCCGTTCGCGCTAAGACGGCTTTGATACTTTAATATAGTTTTCATTTATTCATTACGAAATTTGTACGTTAATATATAACATCATTTTAAGTTACTATTTATAATGGTCGTGAATTGTGCTGTGTACGGCTGTTTATAATCACCTAAACGGGATAAAGAGAGGAGTTTCTTTCGTTTTTTGAAATCTGAAACGTAGTAAGTAAATAAACTTATGCCAGAGACGCATTCAGTTATTGTTTTCTTTAGTGCACAGTAATATATAGTACAGATTTATTGTATCAATATAATAAGACGCCATACCTTCGTGAGCTAAACAAGGGTTCTCGAATTTTCAATTTTTATTGCCGATAAATATTACGTAGTGAATATACCTAATTATTAACTAGGTAATGATAAAGTTGGACACGCAATTTCAAATATTTTGGTTACCTTTTTTAAAGGTACCTGTCCAAAGTGCTTTTAATATATTTTTTAAATAAATTGTCAATATTATTGTAGTTAATGAATTAATGAAAAATATTATATTATATCGATATAAATACGTAATGAATATGTATAATTATTAGGATTCTATAACATTATATTATACGAGCAAGTGATGGGTAACGCACACATTTGCGCGTGTGCAGATAGCGACTTGTTGTATGTAGTAATAGTAGGTAAATAATTTTCGACTGTTGTATGGAGTGTCCGGGGTGTGGCGGCACAGCATACAGCAATAGAGGCTGTGGCGGCACAGTATACAGCAATAGAGGCTGTGGCGAGCGCGTCCTGCCTGGCGAACTACTTTTATAATCTTGAAAATAGAGGGTCAGCAAATTTAACGTTGGCCCCGGGTGTCAGAAATCGACGCTACGCCATTGTTTTGCGGTAAATACATTTTTGCCCTCGATTGTATTTACTTACCTTGTTAATATGTTACTTTTTATTTAATTAAAATGTTACATTGCTGTACCGAGTTCATGTTCATGTTCATGTTATAGTCGATGTTTACAAATAAAAGACCAAGTAATTCAATGTGGTAGGTATTTAATTGATGATTTGAAATATAAAACTACATTAATGAATTCATCTTCCAGCCTTTGTCTTGTCACTTGTTTCGGCTTACTAAATTAGCACAAATTATGGCAGGAATAAGTGAGGAAGTAGCAACGTGGATAACAACAGCATATAAGAACATAGTGGGAGTAGGAGTGGATGTACCAACGGTAGATCCAGGTAATTCTACGGGTCGTGCTGCTTTGAAGACGTTGACTTCACACGGAGTGTACGTATTGGATCATGTAAAATTGGACCAATATTTACCGGGTTCGTACTTACTTTGCAGTATGTTTTATGTTAAAACCTACAAAGATGTTTTTATTAACTTCATATGTGACACAAAAGTATACTTATAGTAACTACCGCGTCCATAGAAGATCAATTTTTTATTTGAAAATCTATCTACCTGCGGTCCTAATTAGAGCTTAAACTTAAGTAGGTATTTATCTAAAAAAATCTAAAACTAGACTTACACCCAATATTTACACATACAACATAGGAATAAATGTTGCCGACAGTAGGGGAGGGCGTATAAATGGGGCGCTTATGCTTTGAAGCTCAGTGAAAGTGACAATGTCATATCTATAATGTTATTTATTTTAGTAATCATCTTTGACAATTTTAGTTTAGTCTTTCTAAGAACATTTGTAGCTAAATATATAAGAAACCAGAGAAGGTAGTATCGTTCTTGCCCACAAATACAATGGAATGACTGCGCTTATCATTTTGTCCTCTACCACAGCATTTACTGCGGAATGTTAATGTAAAAACGTATACAGTTCCCCATAAGAGTCCTTGGTTAAACGAAATCGTGGTACCATGAGTTTGGACCACGTTTGGACTTAGCTCTAAGGTTAATATTATGGATATCTTCTTTCTTATTGAAATTACCTATGTGTATTTTTACGGGCGTATAAAATATTTGAGTAAATGTTGTGATGCCACAGTCATGATACCAGTCTCCTTAAACTTTTCTCTAAGAGAAACCCGAGAACCTAAACGGTACACAGAACGTATCGCTCGTTTTTGCAATACTTCAATACTTGAACCTTTCTGATTTCCCATTCATAATAATGATCTGCCAAGGATCTGCCATTCTTTGTTAAGGACCATTGCGAAATAGTATAATTTGCTGACAGAGACAGACATGACGTTCACTATGGCATATTTAATGGTTTATGCTAACAATTTATTGCTTAATGGCAATAAGACAAAGTGTGTTAAATTGGAATTACCTAACGTAAAATCGACTAGTCCAAGCATAGAAATAAACGGAGAAAAGTTAGATCTTTTTAATAAAGCAGTCTTCTTGGGAGTGACCTTGGATAGTAAACTTCAATGGTTTCCACCACAGATTACATAAATACTAGTAATAGACTGGTTAGTGGGCGGGGTCCGCGTTACCTAGCTTATCACCAGACGGGCATACGAGTGTCAACAGCGATGATTGTTACCGAAATAGGACAGTAATTGAGTCACATGCTGCCTCAACCCAAACCTTTTCGAATATTTTACGTAAAGCTGGTAAAATTGAAATGGGCCTATAGTCGCTAGGATCAACTTTTCTACCGCTTTTGACTAAAGGAATAACTTTGCTGTATTTCTTTAAATAGGGAACAACACCTTCGTCAACGCACCTATTGAAAGCAACAGCTAAATATGGGGAAATTAGGTACATAACTGAGTCTAGAACTTTAGCTGAAATGTCTCAGAGATCTTCAGTTTTTTTAACAAGTGTTGATTTAAAAGCTTTGATGATGTCTTGTGGATTAACAAGACGGAAATTAAATATACTACCACAAACGTTAACATTTCCCTTTAGGAAATCAATAGTAAGAGAAGGGAGGATTTAATGATTCTGAAGTGTTCACGGCAATTTCCGAAAAGAACGATTCAAAAGCTTGGGCTACCTCACCTTTAGATTTTATAAGTTTGCCGTCTAATTCTAGAGCTATATCTCTATCGTGTTGTTTAACCCTGCCTGACTCTTTATTTATTATGCTCCAAGTAGTTTTAGATTTATTTATCGATTATCTAATTTTATCGCTGTGAAACTTAATCTTAGCAGTTACATATATTTTTTTCACATATATTATATTCTATAAAATTGGAATTGGTATTATAAGTTTCATAGCATACAGCTCAAACAAACGAGAATAGTTGAATTTAGTTTCTGTACGGAAAGTTAATGTTTTCGATTTAAATACATTATGAAATTAATTTTTAATTAAACTAAATACCGTGCTACTTATATAAAATATTTGGAACCTCCGGTATATGGGTCAGGGAATTTAAACTGTTGACGATATTATTTTGAAAACGAATGATTCGTTCTGTGATAATCGGTCTGCAGAGAAATTGATGTACCTTCTTGCTCATTGTACAATTAAAAGAAGCCAATTGACCACTATGGTATAATTTTCCTACAGGTTTTATTTAAATTTCGAATCGATAAAAATTTCGAATCGACAAAAGTTTCGAACGGAATACTACTGTATGCCTGTGTGTGATAAGTCCGTGACTTGTATGGTTTTACTGCCTTCGAAACACGGAAACGGAATTCCGACTGTATGTGGCCTTACTTCTTTCGTATTATGTATCTGATCGACACAACGCTGTTGTTCATTGTAGTTTTTTTTACAGAAGCATGGTGCACAGCAATGGTGCTTCCTATGAAAATTACTAAGACTTGTTCTCCGTATCGACTGGTTGTTATTTGTCCAAAATCGAAGATGGAAAAGGGTGGAACATTCATACATCGCCTTTGAACTGAGGAACTACATTATTAACATAATATTTACGTAACGATGTAATGACTATACATGTATGTTAATAATTATTTGTAAAGATTTGTCAACCAGTTCATAGATTTGTTATATAATTCATTTCTTATTTAAGACGTTAAAACTATGGTATGTAAGTCAAATAAGGTCCAAACTTATTATATTTATATACTTACGTATATTTATATACTTGCTCTATTATATTATATAGCTATGTGATTTTGGCGTGAGAAGTGAATACTATAATTTGTAGAATAATAACCGGAGTTCGTAATAATGAGTGATAATATTTACAAAATATTTTTATTCAATGGGCTAGACATTTAATATAACACACCCATTGAATAAAAATTATACGTTAGACACACATCTACATACATTATGAGTGATATAAAAGTACGTGACTGCCTTATTAAGTCCAATCGAGTTAAAGATGAGTCCCAAGTCACTGTCATTCGTTTGCGTCTCTACTATTATTTTAGTTGTTTCTGAAAGTCAAAATACTTTAAATGATGTTTTATTTAGTGGTAATTACGAGTTCATAGATTTGACTCATCCTTACGATAATTCCACGATATATTGGCCGGGCACTCAAAAATTTGTGTTCACGAAGAAAATTGCAGGTTATCGTCGTGATGGTACATGGTGAGTTGTATTGTTTGTCGTTATTTTTATTATTCGTATTATTGGAATAGGTTAATTGTATAGTAAAATAAAAAAACAACCTATCAGTACTTATTTTTATTATGTAGATAGGTAGTACATACATCACTAAATACTTTCTGACCTATAAAATTATCGATGATCTCATTTCATATAACTACTTAGAACACGAACCGACTATGATCATACTTGGAGATCAAATAATTTATACTTATAGGCAGCGTTAGAATTTGCATTCCAAAGTAATAAACTAATCACGCTAAAAATACAGGTACGCAGCGAACGATTTCGCCTCTGGAGAACATGGAGGTACACATATCGATGCTCCATATCATTTTACGAAATCAGGTCAAAGCGTTGGAGATCTGCCTGTGGAGACACTTATAGCATCTTGTAAGAATTTTATATAATTTCTCAGGTTACTAAAATATAAAATGTGAAAAGAGTACTTAATTAAGGTGCATCAATTTTGAAATTTCTAAATATGTAAATAAAGTCAACACGAAAAACAACTTATAGATCGCTTTGTATATAGATGGCTTTAGTATTGACTATTATTATTAATACATAAATATAGACATTACACATGACATTAACAATGATCGCGTTTTCCCGGTGCGTTGTGTAAGAAATTATTTTTAAAATTGAAATCAAATCAAATATTTACAACCGCTCTTTTTTTGCAAATGTAGGTAAGTACCGGTACTTGTATGCTCGAATCAAAAAACTATAAGTGTTTAACGCCAGCAGGCGGTAAGAAGCGAATCAACCATTTTATTCACTTCGGATTCTTAGGTTTTCAAGACATAGGTACACATTGGAAAATGAAACTTTTTTTCGGATCTAAATCGCGTTATACCTAGTCAGAATCACTGCCGAAACGTTGGTTTATTTGTAAAACATAATAAAAAAATATACGTGATTTAGCTCCGAAAAAATAATTTCATTTCCTCTTTATTAAATCTATCGCGCGATGCAATGTTTGAAGAGTAGGTTGTCGTCTCGAACGTTCGCTCAAGAAGTCCGAGATCCTATTGCAAAGGTAAGCCCATAAATAAGGGAACAATAAAAGGAAGCCCATAAGAAGGAAGCTTGCTTAAAAGACTTGCGTACCAGACCCTGTCAAAGGCTTAATAAATTAAATCAGTTAGCCGCAATAAACAGTCTATGGTCGGGACATAATGATCTGTTTGTTTACTTTTTTGGTACATTGGATTGGAAATGATTGGAACAGACTATAAATAATGCAGTAGTTAACTGACCTTTTACCAAAACGGAGAATAAAAAATTAACAAGAATGGTCACTCTCCGCCCGTCCCTAGCTTTAGACCGCATATTGACGGTCACATTGACAGAACGGCGACATTTGCTAATAGAACTTAGAAAAAAAAATAATTTAAAACTTTATTTACAAGGAATTGTACAAGGAATTGTACAAGGAATTTTACAGGAATTTTAGGAGATTTTAGTTTGCACGAGATTCGTGATCGCGCTCTAAAAATATTTGATTTAAATTACAAAACACAGTATAACAGATGTTAATAAATTCGAACCTCTAGCAGTAATGTCGTATTTTAAAATGAAAATGTTCACACTGGATTATTTTAACTTTAAAAAAAAGCTGCTGACCGCTTAGACACGACGAAAAAGTACCATTTTTGACAGCCTTACTCATGTACGGCTATTTATCTTCATAAATAGAATGAATATATATAAAGAGAGGATTATTCTTTCATCCGAAAATCCGGAATTTGAAAAAATAATTAAGTAATATTTGGTGGATTTAACAATTCTATGTCGCTCCTTGTAGCTATATCTATATATGTGGATACTTTTTTCCGACCTATGATTATAATACATTTCGCACATGAAACAAATACTGTTGTAACCCGTAACTGTTCTACACTATTTAAGATCATTGGTCAATTTTTTTATTTATGTGATAGATATAGGCTTACCATACGTCCCGGTTTGACCGGGACGTATGGTAAGCCTATATCTATCATAGATAATAACATTTATAACAACTTTTATTCTTGTATAACTTCTTGAAAAGTTGATAGTTTCAGAGAAAAAAAAGAATATTTTTTTTTGTATGGAGAAATAAACATTTAATTTTTTATCAGTTAATGTAGGAAAATGAAATGTGTGTGGTTTATTTACAGTATAGGTCCAATCATTTTCTATCAAGAAAAAAAAATCCATCGGCACCTGCGGCTTTACGAGTAAAAAGGTGTCAAAATTATAGACTTATTATTTATTTTTGAACACAATATACTAGTTTCTACTTTCGTGTTATTGTTATAATACTCTCTAAATTACACTAAAATTAATTTTTATTTAGTCGAAGCTCATGTATTTTGTTAAAAAATTACATAAAAGAGTTAGCAATTTTGCCGCACCTTTATTTAGGTACAAAGCCGCAAGTACATGTAGACGGACTATTTTTTTCCGCATAGAAAATGATTGGAACTATACTGTAAGTAACCCACACACATTACATTTTCGTATATTTTGAGATAAAAAATAAAATGTATATTTCTCCATAAAAAAAATTACCTAATTTTTTCTCCGAAACTCTCAACTTTTCAAGAAATTATACCAGAATAAAAGTTGTTAGGAATGTTATTATCTACTATATAAAAAAAAATTAGCTGGATACTCCACAAGTTATTCCTATGTCCAAGAATTATAAATTTGGGCCCACTGTGTGGCGGCGCGTTTTCGAGTATGTACCGAAAGCTAGGCCGCGCGCGCTTTTGCGCCGCGTCTTTGAAGTTACCTACTAGCGGCGGTTCCGAACGAGCCGTCACGGCGAACATGGCGCGCTCGGATGTCCCTCTTCCGCGGGCAGCGAAAAGGGCCACGGGCCGTGGGTAGCCGTCTGTAGATTGCGCTATTGAGTTAGAACTTTTGGTGATTTTTATGTTCACAATTTTTTATAAATCCCTGACGAAAAATCTAATAACAGAATCTCCTAATGATCTTACAAACTAACTTCAGTTGTAATTTAAGATGCTTGACTTATTGATTATCATTATTTGCTATAATTAAATTATCCCACAAATAAAATAGGCGCTACGACGTTGACGTTGCTGAAACCAGCCCGCAACATAGGTACCAATATTACAACTGTAATGTATAAATACATGTGAAACAAAGTTAGTACACTCTCGTTTCCTAGTCGTTAAAACCTAAAACATTCTCCCCTGAAAAAAAAATTCGAAATGACGCTTTCGGGCTTTCTACAAATAGATTACCTGTCGGTGGTAGGTCAATGGTTGGTATGAAATAAATAAACAATTTGTGCACAATAGTGCACTTTGTTTACAAGTTTGGACATTTTTAAACGGATGTACTATAGTGTAGTCCTGCTAAAGTTTTGAAATTTCAGTGATCGTTGTGGATGTCAGCTCCATGGTAAATGACGATGAGAACTTCGTATTGTATAAGTACCATTTGAAATACCTGTTGAACTACAACTGTGACAAGACTTGTTTAATCATATTCAAATTCGGATGGAGCAAGTATTTCAATGATAGGAACAAATATTTGGGCATAGAAGAGAATACCGATACTCTTAAATTTCCAGGTAATTATTTAAGCAATCTCGATTTCAAAATTAAGTACCTACGTAAAAAGTTGACATCAGCCTAAAATTTACTGATTCCCAAACACAACAGTGAAGTCTGCACATAACCATAGATATCACAGACCATTACTACGCTCTTGCAAAAATTGTCGAGTACCCAGAATTATGAAGCTAGGTCTCTCCAAGGGTAGACCCTAGTGGGAAAAGAGATGATATCAACAACTTCACTTGTTTTAGAACTAGATAATAAAAGCAAGAGACAAACTTTGGTGTCGAAATTATTGTCATTTTTATAGTAACCCAATTACTACCAGCCGCCTTGTTGCAGGTCTGAGTAATGAGATTGCAGAATGGATAACCACCTCGTACAAAACCGTGGTCGGAATCGGAGTGGATGTTGCGTCTGTAGATCCTGGGTCATCTGATGAATTCCGTGTGCATAAAACTTTATCCCAGAAAGGAATTTATAATATAGAGAACGTTAACTTGAATCTGAATAGAACTATACCAGGTGAGTGGGTATAAAGTTCGAAAAATAAAGTGTTAAGTTTTCCAAGTTTAACTCATTTGCTCAGAATCTAAAGTTAAATTTTAAAACATTCGTAGTATTTCTCTAAATGGTTATTACTTATTATTATGAGTAACGGTTACGCGCTCTATTGTAAATGTTATCTAATGTAAATCTAAATGGAATATTAAAAAGTAATGTTAGTGAAAATATTTCATTGCAATGTGAATGTAATACTTATTAGACTAGGTAATACAAAAGCTTGTTAAAATGACAAGCTTGATGCTAATACTATTATAAAATATAGATTTTATGTATGTAATAATGAACATACTACTAATACTTTCACCTATTGTCATGCCCTTCTGGGCCCACAATGTACTTAAATGATTGTAACATAGTATTATACATAAATATGTATTGCTCTCCATAAGAAAAATTATTTAGGGAGAGCAATAAAATGGTTAAGTATTGAGACATACCAATAATTATAAAAAACCTATTAAGTGATAATCATTTATACTATAAAGTTTACAAGTATGACCAAAGAAGACCTTAGATTTATAGGGCATCTTATTTCCTCGGTCTTTTATTACAGATGTCAAAAATAAATATTAATTTTAATTCCTTGTTTCTAGAATTCGGATGCACGGCATTAGTGATGCCGATGTTGATTTCTCAAGGCACAGGAGCACCAGTACGTTTGATCGCAATTTGTCCTAAAGTAGTTCCAGCTCTTTATAATGTGTAGTCATAAACTGAATGTGAGCGAAAATTGTATGCTCGAAGCAATTTTGTGACTAATTTTAGGCATAGATATCTAATCGAAAGTTAAACATTACGTACCTACTTCTCGTATTGTAAAGGAAATGAATGTAAATTAAATGAGTGTAAGTAGGTACTATGATACTAAAATTTTGAATCGCTTTCGTTATCCATTTACACAAAATACCTACCTAATGTATGGTTTTAAGAAATCTAAAAAATAATTATTCACGTGTCGACGGTATAGAGCTACGACGAAACACTTACAAGTAATGGAGTTCTTGTAAATTGCTCCATTAAAAAATACACGACACTACTCTTTAACTTTTACTAAGTATAAAATTGCGTTACGGAGTTCTGTATTATCAGTAGTCCAATACAATAATACAATAAAGTTTCTGATTTCTGACGTACATACTTTAAGTTAGATACTAAGAGAAATAATAAAATGTTTAATAAAGGCAGTGATTTTATTGCATCTATTATATTTTATTCTATATATTACATATAATGTAATGATTTCATTGGTTTACATCAAAGCTTCCAGATGAGAAGTCTTCTATAAAATCTTTTTTTCCATATTTCTAAATCAAAATTAAGGCTATACCTACAGGTGCCTATGAAATCGACGTCAATCCGGAACAGGGATGTTAAGGTGGACGTGGCCTACAAAAAGCCCATGGAACTATGGACATTATTAATCGTAGGTATATAATATTCCGAATGGCTTTTTTCAAATAACCATTTAAAGCGATAGTGAAATGGAATCTCGAAAAATCTTTGAAATCATAGGAGCCAGATGCATTTTGGTGTTTTAATCTTCGATTGTAAGTTATAATTAAACCACTGCCACGAGTGATAAACACCTTGTGCAATATGGCTTAACGATTGGGTAATTGGGCTATATGATGTGAGATGATTTTTGTTTAAGTAGTATTAAATATAAAGCTAAGGTATGGGTTACTATTTATTATATTTCTGTCTGTAATTTTTGTACCTATCCCAACCTGATACTATACGAAGAAAATTTTCTGTTGTATAGCGACCTCATTACGCCACCCATTCTCTACAACTCGAAGGTATGAAAATCAAAATCAAAGTAATCTTTATTTCATAGGTAAGCATTATTACTTCAAGTGTATCGTCACAATGGTTAAACTCTACAACTCATTCATAAAGCAGATTCCCCTGAGAAGAATGAGCAAGAAACTCTAAGGGTTGCTGTTTGTAAATAACATTTGTACGCATTCAACAATTACACTATATATTTTTTTTTCTTTCAAACATCAGACATCGAGACTATCTCCATGAGCTAAACGGGTTACTACCACGGATTTTTGTCATCCAAGTACGCAGAAGTTGTATAATAACCTTTAGTACAAAGTTTTTGTTTCACTATAGTTTTAATGAATTTGTCACTTTGTGAAGACGACTATCAAGAACGGCTAGTTTATTTTTATTCATCGTATTAATGTTATGACTGTCACTATTTTTCATAAAGAGATTACTATTCCTCTTAACATAAATTACATTTTCATAGATATACTGTGACGCTAGTGTAAGAATGTTGTTTGTTTTGTTTAATTTCCTTAAACTTATTTCTCAAAGATACTCTGGGGCTCAGATTGTAAATTGCCCTAACCGCATGTTCCTGCAGGACAAAGATTCTATTGATATCGACGGTATTACCCCAATGCAAAATGCCGTATGACATTAGACTGTGAAAGTAGCTGAAGTAAACCAATCTAGCGGTTTCGACGTCTGAAAGTTTCCGTATTTTTTTTAATCGCGTACATAGCAGAACTGAGCCGTTTTGATAACTTACTTATATGTGGACCCCATTGCAATTTAGAATCTAACGTTATACCTAGAAATAGAACTGTATCCACAAGACTCAATTTTTCGTTTTGAACTACATGTTACAAACATTGTAGTTAGAAAAGAAAAATTAAAAAAAACCATCTCTCTAACATTGGGTAATGTAAATTTCACACAATTTGTTTTTTTTTTTCTCATTAAGGAGCAGGTTATTAACAGCAAACCAATCAACTACTTTAGATATAGTATTGTTCACATCGTCGTAGGAACATTGGTGCCTTTTCCTTTTAATTTTAAATAATAATGAAGTATCATCAGCAAACAATACTATCTCATGTTTTAAACCCTCCATGAGGCTAAGTAAGTCATTAATATAAACTAAAAACAAAAATGAACCTAGAATTGAACCTTGAGCGACGCCTATGCTAATTACAGACCCTCATGATCTCGTACCGTTAATATCGACCTTCTGTACCCTACCACTCAAATACGATTTAAGAAGGTCGAGGTCACGTCCCGCCACACCATAATGGCCAAGTTTCTTGACCAGAGTATAATTGTGCACATAATCAAAAAGCCTTGGAAAGGTCACAGAATAGACGAATAGCGTCACGTGAGTCTTCCCATGCATCAAATATATGTTTCGTCAACTCGACACCAGCATCGGTTGTAGAGCGACTCCGAGTGAAACCAAATTGTTTTGGAGACATTAAGTTATTACTACTTATAAAATAATATAAAAAAAAAAAAGGTTCACGCGATATTTAATTTTCTCCAATCGTCGTCTGAGGTTAGTCTCGAGTTAGGATTGCAATGGAAGCACAAGCACTGGAAATACGACCCTAATGGCAGGTACTTGAGTATGATTTCGAGTGCTTTAAACCATACTCAAATCCTAACTTGAGCATTGAGTAGAGTTATAGAATACGACCCTCAGTTTCTCAATCACGTATCTTAAAGCACAAAGTAACTGAAATGCAAAAAATGCATTGTATATACAAATTTTGCAGGCTGATTTCACATCACATTTTCTTCATATTCACACACTGGCTTTTATCTATTCATAAAGTAACGCATCCAAAATAACACTCTTGATAAGAAATTTAAAATAAATAGAAAGTTAAGCCATCGAAATGGCATCTCGAGAATGAAACTACCATCTTATACGAAGCAATTAACACATTACCGAATGAATACCCTAGAGGAACGTAGAATAATTATTGATTATTCCGTCGTGTCCAAATTGTTTACACATAAAATCGACTGCCCGTAGTTACTAAACGTTAAAATTTTTCGGATCAAATTCTCCTAACTCAAGACCATGCAGATTGATAAATGAATATAGTAATCGACGGGATATTCACACTAACTCACCGAACAGGATAAGTTCCGTTATAATGACTCCCAATTACTTAAATGTTGTTTTTTTCCCTTTTTTCTTACAGTTACTTTTATTTACTCAACACTTTTGAAGTTTTTTGCAGTAAACCAAATGTATTATTATATTTTTATCTGTGCTTTTTGTTGTTATTAAATTCTCTTTTGTCGGAACTTAAATAATGTTGTCAATTTTACAGTCTATTTACTAATTGCAAGTGGTATTTACCTGTAATTGTTTGATACATTTTAGTTTAAAGGTGTTCCTCACTTCCTTTCATAAGATTGTAATAATGTAATCAAATGTTGGTAAATATTAAATCATTTAAGAAAAACTAATTAAATAGTTACATTACGGCAAGTTCCTCTGACTTTGAAAATTAATAACAAGAAAATAGCATCTCTTTTTTTTTTCAAACTGACGGAGACCATGATTCCGAGATCTACGTTCGTACTGGACTGGAGATCCGCGGCCACGCGGTACAAGATTTTGCGCGCGGTACAAGATTTTGCGCGCGGTGCAAGATTTTTCGTGCGGTACAAGATTTTGCGCGCGGTACCACGCGCCGAAAATCGCTTGGATCAACATCAACTGAACAAGTTCATAGTGGTTTTGGAGATCCGTGACCGCAAGGTACCTACCTACAATACAAGGTTTTGCGCGAGGCACCGCGCGGTCTTATTTACATATAAACCTTGATCCGCGCGTTCATCTGAACTTAGTCTTACTCTTTCTCATAGTCCTGACATCGAAAATCTCGTAGTCCCGCACTAGGAAAACACACTAGATGCCATGAACACGCAATAGACAATCACAAATTAGAGAAATAAATGTAGGCCATACAAATGTTTCTCCCGGCCCGGGAATCGAACCGGAACCTCTGCGTGGCAGACCAGCATGGTAACCGTTCGTCCACCGAGGCAGTTTATCTTAAACTCATTCGTTGTTTATAATTTATAACGATAACCTCAAGAAACAGATGAAAATATCGGAATATTTTCTCTAGTTTTTAATAATTGTCTAGTCCAATTAATGTCACATAAATCGTCGCCTTACTTTCTCAAAGTCTTACCTTAAAGCACAAAGTTCTGAAATACAAGAAATGAATTGTATATACAAATTTTGCAGGCTGATTTCACATTACATTTCTTTCATATACAGAGACTGGCTTTTACCTATTCTTAAAGTAACGCATCCAAATTAACACCCTTTAAAAGAAATTTAAAATAAATAGAAAGTTTTGCTATCTCCTGAATATCACTCTTTTTAAGATACGAATTTATGAAAGTAAGGCATCAAAATATAAGACGTAAATAAATCTGTTGTTTTAATAAACTACCCATATGGCCGATTTGGTGTACTATTTAACCGACTTTAAAAAAAGGAAGAGAAAATATTTTTGTTTAAATATCGTACAGTTGTAGAATATTGAAATTCTTTAATGATATTTCAGCTATGCATCGTTAGAGTAAGTTCCGATAAGTCGAATGCGTTAACTAATTTTAACTGTTTTTAAAAGAGAATTTTGTGCTCTATCTTATTTTATTTAAAACGGTTATTTGACCATTTGTCACTTAGCCGCATTTTAGTTAGTGGACGGCAGTACATATATACGCACATATATCTATTGTCGTCTTTAGGTATTGTCTTACTAGTAATAATATATATTATTTGATTATGATGCTTCGAATAGTTGATTGTAGTGATTACTATAGCATTTTCCGTATAAACAATAGATATTGACATAGAAAATACCATGGAAGTAAAGTAATTATGGAATTCAGTAAACCTTTCCGCAGTCGTTTAATCGGAGGTAGTGGAAGAATATAATTTTTTTTGTCAAATATAAATTTACTTATTGAATACGTCTTAAAACAACAACGGTATCAGTATAGTGGTTTAAATATTTGTCTGCTTTAAAATATCGGACGAAACAAAAATAATACTGGGGAACCCTACAAACTTTTTTCACATTATTCAGTGCATAGAATAATTTGGTGGTATACTATCGTGCAGACAGGAAGTGCGCGTGACATCTAATAGTTGATACAAGTAGACTTGTTAATATAAATTGCTTTGTAAAACATTTTTGGTTGTATACGTGAAATAATTGCCATGGAATTGCCGAAAGTTGTCTTAGTTTTGTGTCTCTACATCGTCATTAAGAGCAGCGCTCTACCAACAACAATCAATGGTACCGATCAATCTCAAAACGCTATCAAAAAAGCAGACCAAGACACGGTGCAAAAAACAACGGTCGATAACACCGTAAAATTACAAGACGATTTTCCCCAGCAAGATTACGTTTCTCAGGATGTAAAAAAATCAACCACGAGCAAAAAAAGATGCAGCAGCAAACATGGAACAAATGGTAAGAATACCGATAAAAACATGAACAATCATATGAAATGTGATAATAATAATGGCCACAAAAGCAGCAACTGTCAGAATAAGAAACAAAAATGTCAAAAAGGAGAAGCGGGTAATTGTGGTAGTAACCACGGAGAGGGAAGTGGACAAGGCGGTAACGAAAAAACCGAATCAAGTGGTTATGAAAGTGACAAGAGTAAGTACGAAAAGGGTGATAAACCGCACAAGGAACAGAGCAAGTCAGATGGCAATAAAACGGGAGGCAATGAAGGGCAAAAAGAAGAAACTATACCCGAAAAAATGATAGATTCTTGGAAGAACGTGAAGCAACAAATTTTAAAAAAAAATTGAATTTTTAATTTTGTAAGTTCGAGTATAAGCGCTGTAACAAATAGATAGATATTAATGTATGTCCTTATATTAATCTAACTTTTTTGCGTTTGCGTTAAGGAATTTTAGTAAAAAGTTTTATTAGAAAATAAGAAATTTTAATGAAAACAAAAAATAACTTAAAAACTAAAATCTTCCTTTCCAATCAAACAGGATCGATTTTTAACAATCACTTTATATGAGAAATACAGTACCCTTGGTAGGTAAGAATATAAAGTACAAGTAATAATTTTTAGATGTTACTGGCATCAACTGAATCAGTTTTGAAGAAAATTTTACGTTGTATTAGTTCTTTGTACGTCAATTCACCGTCGTCGTTTTTTAATTCTACGACTGGCAGATCGCCATCGTATGTGATAACTTTGGCTCTGAAAGGCCCCTTATCTAAGAAAGTATTGGCATATTCTTTGGAGAGAATATTCATTTCTATTTCTGGGTTAATTTGAACACCATACAGTTTGGCTTGAAGGCTGGCTGGTGGTAGTGTGATCCAAACTTCGGATATTTCTCTGACATCAGCTAATGTAATAATTTCCTTATTTCCATAATCAACATATCTCACTTTGATTTTGCTTTTGCGTTCACTGTACTCCAAAATAGTGGCTCTGTACCATTGTCCGTCTTCATGGAATAGAGCAATGCATGCTTTGTTTTCAAATATCCCATTTAAAGCCGGCATGTTTTCGCCTTCACGTTGAATCTCGTCAAACATGTCCTCATACAAAACATTAGTCGCGTCGTTGTGTACGATACCTAAGTCTAATATCTTGGTATCATTGATTATTGTAATGTTGCAAAGAAATTCATCTTGAACAAATTTTGGGAATGTAATAAAATTACCTTCTAGACAATCTTTATCTCCGTTTTCTTCGTCCTCAATCAACTTATTCCAATCTTTTCCGTCGAGAGATTTAAACGACGAGTTTGACTCATCTTCTTCAACAATATAGTCAGGCTCGGAACTCACTTCCACAATTGCCGCTTTTTCTTTCTTATTAGACGCGAATTTTCTAACGATGGGTTTAGAACCATCTGTGTATACCGCCATCTCAAAATCAACTAAGTGATCGTTAATCCATAGTTTATCGTACTTCAATTCAATTGGGATAACGCCTCCTATAGGCTCTCCTACGATTTTAACATAACATTGTTTTTCAACCACTGACTTGTGTACATAGTCGAGCGCCTGTCGGTCCCATTGACCGTCCACAGGTCTTATTCTCGCCAGCGCACATCTGTGAGCTTGGGTGGGGATTTGGTGGAGAGCAACGCTTTTTCGGAGGTTTTCGAAAGAACACATCTCTTCGTTGCCGTAATCGATGTAGTGTATGAGACAGACGTTGTTCTCCTTGATAACGTCTATTACTCGTCCGCGGTAAAATCGATTGTCAAGGTAGTAGAGCGCGATGCACGGTTCGCCCACCGTCCATTTTACGTATTTGGCTTTTGGGTCTGGAGCCTTAAAACGTACGTCCAACGCTTTGCGGATGAGATCCAGAGTGTCTTGCTGTGCCACATCGTGTAAATAAATTACACCGTTGTTGTCTATATACCTGGAACAAATGATTAGCGACGTGAATATTAAAATGTGATCGTATAATGCAATATTTGCTGAAATGAGCATTGTTAAACTTACGTTGGCGTGCCAGTAAATTCTTTGAAGTGGAATGGTTCGGGCGGCAACCAATCCGAAATATAAACTGTGTTTGAGTTATCTGTAGCTTCTTCCGATTGTGCTTTCATATCATACCACTCGACAGGAGAAGGCGTGTTAGATTTGCTTTTAGAAGATCTTTTATTTTCCTTCGGTTTAGTGGCCAATGGCTCGAGTTGCAGCCACTCGGTGATCGAGCCTGTGACGTTTTGCAAGAACGATAGCATGTCGTCCTTAGAACCCTCAGGAGTATTGGATCCCTAATAACACAAAAAAAATCGTGGTTTGATTTTAGTTCACATTTGTCACAATAAAGGTATCTAAAAATGAAACTCGTACCAATTGACTCTTGTCGGGTACCCCTAACCCTTGTTCGATGATTTTTCTATTAAGACATCGCCATTCAGATTTGTTAGGTTCGAGCGCCCCTCCTTGAATGGTGTGGTACACCCACACTTCGATGGGCATACTTTTGTTTTTGAAATCACCTAATTTCGTTATAAATATTCTTTGGTATACATCGAGCAACTCTTTCAGGTACTCCTTGGTGATGGTGGGCCATTCCTCACCACCGTCTGCTGGCATGATGCCGCATAAATGGCATTTTATGGCTGCGTCTCCAATGGACGCGAACTCTGGCGCGAGATCCACTAAGCTGGCAACTGGGACTGTCTCGATGCAAGCGAAATCCGAATAGAACACCTTAACGTTATCGTCTTGCATCTCTATAATGGCAGCGCGTCGCCAGGTCTGTGATTGGTTGCACACTGTGCAACATCTGTCGCCTACGGCCCAATTGGTTTTTCCTTGACTTTTCTTTGCAGAGTAGTAACTTTGAATTTGCTCATAAAGGTCATTGAAAGTTTTTTGTTGGTGCACTAGCGAGACGTAAAGCAGAGACGGAGATTGATAATGCAGAACTTTAGCTTCCAGTTTAATTGGCCCTTTGTCCTTGGCTTCGAGCTCTTTCTCATTTATCTTTATGGACGACTTTGTTTTTTTTTGTAGTGTCTGATTTTCTTTTTTGGGTCGATCTAGGGGAGACTTATTTGTGACTACTTGGTCTTCTATGTCAGCATTTTTGTTGAACATGAAGAGGCTGCAAACATTTCGAATTTTTTTAAGTTAATTTTACAGTGATATCAAGATTTGCTTTATTATGTAACAAAATTTATAATTTCTTACCCGAACGTGACAGCGAACTTGTGTTTAATCATTTCTGTGTTTACGCAAACGATGTTATCTTCATCAGCTTTGTCATAGAGGGCGACTCCTAGCGAACCGCGGCGCGTATCTTCCACGTGCAGCTCCAGCAATCGTCCTTCGAATCGCTGCAATAGCGCTACTGACGCTGCATTCCATTTCTGGTGTAGTGGTGTTACGCCCGCCAAATGGCATTCCGTCGCCTGACAGACAAATTTAATGTTATGCAATCTTCATTGTACTGTACACATAATGGTACAAAATGAACAGACCTACATATGTATTACAGGTGGCGACTTTTGATTGATGTTAAAAATGTAAAATTTTTATGTTATTTGGTTCAATTTTAAATAAAATAATAATAAATACAAATAACTTGGAGGCATTTGTATTTTCAGTATTTTAAAAAGACTATTACGTTTACCGAATATTAGGATTAGAGTCACGCTTCTATATTAGGGTTAAAATTGTACTCATTTCATTATTGATACATAGACCGAACAGACAAAGAAAAATTCCTTCGATATGACAGGACCAGTTTCTGTATGCTCAACCGGAGCTACACTAGTTAGTGTCCAGACCAATCGTTTTTATGCTTGTTCGGTCTTTGTATCAATAAATACTCGTGGAGTATGATATTTATTAAAAATAAATATTGTATTAATTTAAGTCAGTATGGGAAGCACTAACTAGTGAACAGAGCGTAATGAACTTGGGGTTGATCTGCCTAAGGTCGGTCCAGTGGACGAGCAGCAGCGCGCCGGTATCGGGCAGCAGGAGACGCACGCGCCCTCGGCCAGGCAGCTCGTGGACCACGCCGCGCGCCCATGTGGTTCCGTCCCCGCGGTATTTCTCTACGTTCACTGCATACACCGCGCCTGTGCCACGGGATATTATAATAGCACCATCAATCGACTTTGCCAATTATAGTGAGTCATTATGAGTGCTGTCTGATTAATTAAAAACTACTGGGCCATGGGAAAGTGGAGGGTTCGATCCTAACAACTGTTAATAATTATTTTCAACAAGTTCCTATCCATTACTCGAGTAATTAAATAATTAGTACTTCTTAATTATTTGCAATAGCGACAATAACACTTTTAGATGCTGATAAGTAACAACGTGTCAATCAACATGATCATAGTTTTGCGAAAATAGTACCTAAAGATATTTTCGTTGTTTTTCATAGTTTGCTGTAAAATTTACTTATATAATAAAAACTTTTGCTGTTGTCACCTCAGGAATGATAGAATTGTTGTGATTTATTATTATAATTCCCCAACAACAACAAGCACAACAGCAAAAGTTTTCATTTTATAAGTAAATTTTATGAAAAACAACGAGAAAATCTTTAGGTGCCATTTTCGCAAAATTATGATCATGTTGGTTGGCACGTCATTGCTTATCACTATCCAACTCTTGGCTGTTAGTATCAGATACATGCACATCAGTGGCGAGGAGCTCATAACATGTTTTCCATCGGTTTGTCTTAAGAAATTTGTTAGAAAAGCATATATATCACAATTGAACTTAATTTATAACAAATGAAACGCCCGATTATCCGACCACCCAGACGTCTAGTTACGACGCATCGTCAAATTTCCTTGCTATAGTAAAATAATACACATCGAGCAACTAAATTTCTTGGTTCTATGAAAAAACGACCATGTTCCGTATCACACAGCATTGTATTGCACGTTTTCTGCAGTATAAATCTTACTGAATAAACAGTATGCGCATACATTATATATAAGAATCGTTGACACGGTGTTTGTCCTGCAAAAAAAAACGTACACAGCTCTATATGTTTATCGAATAGGCAACGTACTTGTCAAGCCAATCGTATGAACTTAAACGTATTCGGTATGCAGTGGCGCATAGTATTAATGCATCTCTATCACACGGCGCGAAGTCATACGTTTTTTATCAAATAGTCACCGAACAAGCGGCGTCTAATATTGAAGTATCTTTTGGAAGGCATGCATAATTTTATTAATACAATATGAGCGGCGAATCGTTTGTGGACAACGATATTTTGATATCTTTAGTGGAACAAAGGCTTGTTTTGTGGGACAAAACTATGAAATTGTATAAACCCAATACCTTCTGTTCTTTCGGCGGCAACGCCGTTGGCGTTTTCTGTGTATGATCAGTACCGCGTCGCACTGCACTACATGAGAAAAAGCCGCGGGTTATACGACCGACCTGCTACGAGCACTTACACTTACACACTCAGTAACAGAGTACGTTCAAAGTACAATAAAAACGATTAAATTATTATTAATACAAAAATCGAACACTCAGAAAAAATTCCTTTGATCCGGCCGGATTCGAACCGACGTCTTCTAGCATACCGTGCCAGACGTTATTTATTTATTTATTCATGGAAAACCAACAGTTATAAACATTTAGTAAGAAACAGCAATAAAAACATAGAGCCAATTACAGGTTTTTCACTTATAACTACAAGTTAGTTAAACACGAGCATTGGACTAATAAAACTAATAAATACAGCAATCCCATACGTGCGTCAACAACCACATGTTATTCAATTTGATTAATTAATATATCTGTTATTTTACGTTTTAGTGCATCAATGTTACAATTAAATATATCTACATCCAGGTCATATTCACTTAGCACACCATTTAAACTCCTACTAGCTCTACATATAAAACTATTCTGTCTATAGTTTGTCCTCGCTATGGGAACTACAAGAGGGTGGTAGTGTCTCATGGAACATGTTGGAACATTAAATGAGAGTTCACCCAATAAGTCAATGCAATCAACCTTGCCGTTTATAATATTTAAAAGATACATTATATCACAGATTTTTCTGCGATCATATAATGGTAATAGACGCTGATCTTTACAGAGACGCAAGTAATCCAATGAATTATAAAATGAACTATATCAACTAAGATACGGAACGAACCAGCGGACCTCACGAACTTATCTATGTGCTTGCGTCGTATCTTTGTATTTGGTTTTTCAACGACGTTTTAGCCGTAACGCCATCTATGAGAAATCTATATTTCGTCACCCAGTTAGATACCTTTACAGCTACCAGTCAAGGCTAGAGATGTGGCTATTCATTGGTTTGTTATAATTAAAGATCGCACACTCAGAAAAAAATTCTTCGATCCGGCCGGATTCGAACCGACGTCTAGCATACCTTGCCAGACGCTATACTAACTACGCACGGAACGAACCAGTGGACCTGGACCGAACTAGTGGAATAATTTCACATAAAAATAATTGAATATCAATTCAATAAAAATTTAAACAATTAAATTATTATATTTATGGATGAATTTCAAATTCAGGTATTATTATACATTAATTTACATTTATTTGTTATTAAGTATTCATATTGACATTTACTGTAAGTATAGGTTATTGTTAGTTTAATTCAATTAGTTTTTCATTTTCATTTCATAATTATTTCTCATTATTTTGTAAACTGACGCTCACTTTTCGAAGAGTAGTATAAAATGATATGTAATTGTATTTGTAGGAAATTTGTAATGTTGAGAGAAATAAACAAAACTATGCCAATGCGAAAGTGCAACTAAGCGTGGATCCATCACAGACGTGTTTCAGGGTTACTGCTGCGGCTATCCGTCGTTTGAACGCATGAAAATATATCGTGTGAATATCCCACTGTCTATCCGTTTATAATCGAATACGATAAAAAACGTGCAGGACAATGCCGTGTGAACAAAGACTATTGCTTAAAATATCAATAAGCATGGTATTCAATGTTTGTTTTGTATAACTTATACTTTATTTCAAAACATTACAGAATTTACTTACCAATCTCAGGCAGGTAGACACTTCCCGTGGTTACATTCAAACTGTATTCTTGGTCCAAATCTTCGCAAAGTTTTTCGAACACTTTTTGCAGGTGACGCTGAAAATGATTAATTACTAATAAATTAGCCGAGTAACTTTTATTTTAAAACTACGAGGACCTGCATGTTCACATCAACGTCACGTAAGCAAATAATCTAGCACCTGCAGCGCAGGTCCAAGTGTTTAATTTTTATTTTTTGCACTCATGCCGTCAAAAATAAAGTACAGCTGAGCAAGCAGGGCGGTTTCAGCAGCTCAGCTATTTGTTCTTCAGGGCATGAGTATTTGCTAATACAAGGCGGAAATTTGAGACGGGTCAAAACGCCAGCTATCTTAACCATCATAGCTACCTCAGCGTTATTCAATTGTCGCAATTTGTAGCGACCGGTTACAAATTTTTGTTTTGTAGGTACTACAACGAAGGGTAAAGTTTTTTTTTGCGATTTCTGTCATTTGTAGTACTCTCATCTCATTTGGTTCTGTGGAGACTTTGATCCTTACCAGACACAGGATCGAATGGCATGAAAAAAGTTTTGTGAAAATTGCCTTTTATCTTGTTGACTATATAACATTTTTTTCAACATTTGTGAATGCCAATCGAAATATCTTTAACACTAATAGACGAAATACATTTAAAAGACATGGATAGTCTTCTACACGGAAGAAAAAAAACAATGGAAGTACCTTAAGCCTCGATTACTATCAGAACCGCTGTCGCCAAAACTCACATTCACAATGAACAAACGCTATGAAATCTTGATAATGATTGCTCGTAGTTTCAAATTTAAAAAGAAATAACAAATTCTAGATTGTTTATATAAATTTTAACTTTAGTTTGTTTGTTGACATATCGTTGAAAGTTCAATCAATATGATGTCTAGCTGTTAATAGCTAAACGACAACGAATTCAAGATGTCTATTTAGTTCTCCAAAAAAGAAGCGACCATATTGCAATGACATATGGTTCATTTCCGTTTCTCGTAACAAAATAATGATTACGATAAACAGAAAATTTAAAATGTATTAAAACTAATTGTATTAAAAATAAGGACTAATGATGTTGCGAAATACAACCGTAGATTATATTACAAGTGCGACTATCATTTTTGCAATCCAAGTATTGAAATAAGGCATTTTTCTAGGATTTTCGAGGTTTTGCGTGAGAAAATTAACACGATCATAACGTATAAAGCGAAAATGGGACTGAGTTCTAATTTGCAGAATTCAGCGGACTCAGCTCAAGTTTGCGGATATATGCAAACTGTTGGAACACGTGACACGCAAACTAAGTACCTCTACTTATTGTTCTATAATCTCCTACGATCATTTTCCTGCAGCTATGACATCTCAAAATTCCAGCTATATATTTGTGATAAACTCACCTTCCTTACGAAGAACTTGTCGGGGCTGACAATTTGCGTGATGTACACTTCTTCAATGGATTTGTGTTTGAAATCAGAGTGGTTCGAGTACAGCCTATGCTTTTCCATTGCGCCTTTGATCTTGGGGTACTAAAATTATGACAATGCAATATATTGTTAGTTCGTAAACTAGAATATAGCAAAGAAGTTTTATTTTTTAGTGTTGCCAAGAACGTGGCCGTAAAGCTGAATATTCGCCCTAACTATTTGGCCTGAGTAACGCACGTCCGAATAATGGCACTAAAATACCAGTTATAAACTTCAGTTATCATTAGACATGGCAATAACGGCTGTTTGTCAAAAATGAATTATACTGTTATGCCATTTTTCAATAATTGTTATTGTAAACTGTTGTCAGATAACCTGTTATTTCGCTGTTTCGAATAAAACATGACAATTATAGCCAATTAATATTGTGCAGTGTTGCCAGATGGTTACATTTTTCGTAACTTTTGATCGTCTCGCTTAATATGCAAGTAACTTTTGAGGAAATCAACTATATTTGTCATTGTAATTCTTAAATAGTTTAGGAACGCACCCAAATTAGACAAAAAAAAAAAAAACTCTGAGAGGGGGCAAACAAAATGAAATCAATCAATTACTGATTACAGCTTGATTTTTCTTGAGCGTACTCGTACTTACTTTTTTATTTTTAGGATTTAGGTGCATACATGGTGACAGGTTGAACGAGATAAATATTTAAATTGGCGAATGAGTAGCTGATACCCATACCAAATCTCGGTCGAATATTACTTATTTCACAGTAATTGTTTCGAACGGAGAACAAGAGTAGATTCCCAGACTAGGACCATGTCAGAAGATATTTACGCAATTCAGTTTTAAAAATACGAAGTCACTTAGAAGCGGGTTTTGTAGCTTTAAAAGTAAAGGAGTGTTTGAAATACTCTGAGCGGGTGAAAGGAGATTTCAGTAGGTTATCCATTTTAGACCTTAGTTCACGATTGTGATCTTCACCGAGGAAGCAAAAACATTCCTTAAGGTAGGGCGCAGTGCAGTATCTCGCGCTTAGTGTCGCTCTCTCGCAAGTCGCGCTCTGTTGTGCTAGGCCTTCTCTTTTAAGGTATTCGGCCGAATTCGTTGTAACTATAATTTTTAAGAATAGTAAATACATAATTTGTAGCAATTGTAAAAGACTGTTGTCTATAAGTAAATCATCATCCGGTCTATTCATCGTATTTACTTGCGATAAAAAATAAGATCATGATTTAGACGGATAAGAAATACTGTATTCTATTCGTTCTTTGGTTTATTTGTTTACGTGAAAGTGCGAAAAGTACATTATATATTAAACCTATTTCCTCTCTACAATTTTCCGAGAATGAACTAATCGTTACTAAAAAGATTATTTTCTATAAATAAACATTAAACTAAATAAATTTTCCGGTTACACAATAAATTATACGGTAATCTTTCGGCCACGGAGGCAGTTCAACAAGATCTTTGACATGTTGCTTTTCTGTTAATAGTGACAATTAAGTATTTGTGATTCCGAGGGTCTATACCACATTTGGCAATGAGGCAGTCAGAAATTGTGCGACATGGAGTGAAGTGGTTTTATTTTCTGATAAAGCCAGAATTTGTTTGCTTTTTGAGGACCGATGTCACAGAGTGATGAGAAGATCTGGAGAGCGTCAAGCAGACGTATGTTTCGAAGAAATTGGACCGTACAGTTGGAGGTTCTGTTATGTTTTAGGCAATCATAATTTCCGAAGATCGAATGAAGTAGTTTTGCACAACGATGTATATCAAGGGAATCCAATTCCAACCATGCACAACCTGCACAGCCGTCACAGGTGCTGCTGTTGTATTCGTGGACGATAATGTTCGAGCGTACATAGCGAGTGAAGTAGACGCTTATCTGAATGAGGTCGGAATTCGCCGTTTAGACTGGCCAGCACGAAGTCCTGATCTCAATCCCATGGAGCATAAGCTGTACAGTCATATACGAGATATCTGACCCCCTAACATTCCCAAACCGACCATTTGGTTCTGAGAGCCATCTTACGTATTGAACAAAGAAAAAATTAAAGCAATTTAAACTTTATCGTATAAGCAATACAGTGGAGTGTTGCTTGAAGATGATCAACATATTTTTAAAACCAATCCTAAATTTCCTCATTTGACATCCAAGTAAATTGGTGGAGCGGTTTGTTGTATGGACTGCCAGTTAAAAACCCGTGGTTCGATTCCACGAGCAGTTTTGTTTTAACATTATATTTTTAACAGCATTGTTTCACTTTTTAATGTTACTGTTGACAAATCACAATATTTGCTCACTAGAAATTGCCTAAGGTGGGTGGGTAGATATTACTAATAAAGTGTAGGGTGCGTTTGGATGGATTAACAAATTACGAAATCGCTCGGCAGTTTGCATACGATCGTGTCTTCTGTGATTACGCACTGTTCCACGTTTCATTCCCACTTATCTATTCAGTTTTAATTACTTTCAAAGTGAATACTTTCTTCTTGTTTTAATATTACTTAACTTATGCCGTACTTAACGGAATTATTAAAATTAAAAATTGTTGTTCCGTATGAACAAAACGAAACGAAAATCAAAGAAATTGCAAGGCGACTTCATATAGCGGTAAGTAGACTCATTATATTTTTCACAGTGCTGCAGGTGCATCCTTCATTACCCCACGGGTGTTATAAAACATGTTCAACGTATCATTAAAATCCAACACGTTTAACGTATCATTAAAATCTAACATGTTTAACGTATCATTAAAATCTAACATTAGGTGAAATTCGAAACTACTGATGAGGGCCTATTACAAAGTATTATAAATTGCTTGTTCACAGAGAAACACTGTCATGCTATGGATCAATCGCCACAGAGCGACTGGAAATGTGCAACGTAATCCGGGTCCAGGACCGGTAATGTTTACTTCTGCATCTAGTCGTCACCTAGATATCGTCAATCGCCATATTGAAGATCCCTTTGCCACTTCAAAATAAAACTGCTCAAATTGTGGTGTCCATGTGGGATTTATGCTGGTCACAGGCATGAAAGACCGTTTACAGCAAGTGATCGATTTTGAAGGGTTTCCTTTGCGGTATTGAGGGGGTAATTGTGTAGTTTTTAATAATAGATATTATAGTTATAAGTCATCGCTAGGCAAAAGTAATGTAAAGTGTGTGATGTTATTGTTATCTTTGCAACATGTCTATTCTCTGCACTGCATAAGGTTATAATTTGGTAAAAATGCAGCCTGTAAAACTATAGTTCGTTTCAATACATTTTGCATAAAAGATTACCTATATAACATGTTTCAAATAAGATTTTAACATGTTATTCAAATGAATATTATTGGAAAAAGTGGTGAGATATCAAGCTGAAATCTTCAAATATGAATGTGTAAGGTATTCAATTAATTGAATGATTGTTTAAGAATTTTAACCAAAGCGGTTGGTTTCCTTTTCATGAAAAATGTTTTGTTTTGACACTAGTTATATCTACCTTAAGTAATAAAATTAGTCTTCTAACGTTTCGTCAATATCGATATAATTGTGAGTTTAAATAATCTCAGTACAGAGTACTAAAAAACCGACCTCAAAAGTACGTTGAACTACGTCTATTTGCTAAGTTTGATTGAAATATCCTTAAATTCGCCACTATACAGGACTTCACACTGGAGATAACAAAAATCGGTTCTCACAGCTCAAAGTATATGGAGAGAAAAACGCCTTGGATTGGAGAAATAGCAAAATCAACCATTAAAATAATTGCTCCTTAGTAAAATTTAGGCGCTAGTTATAAAAACGAATTTTCATGCGTGAACGGCCACCCTTAGAGGTGGATGATTTTCTTCAAAATGAAATGGGACCACTATGGAAGTACCCCCTTTCAAACAAAAAAAAAGATTCATGAAAATCGGTTCACAAATACCAGAGTTATCGCGTAACATACATACAAAAATAAAGTACAGTCAAATTGAGAACCTCCTCCTTTTTTGAAGTCGGTTAAAAAATACAGTAGTTACTGATACAGGCTGTAAGTATTTTAAAGTTTTACAATTAAATGTTTACTAATTATGATTTAGAAGAATAAAATATTAAAATATTTGTTGAATTACAGTCAATTCGGTAACTTTGAACATTTTTTGCGTTTTTCTAATAATTTCAAATTTAATTATGTTTCTTAATAATTACTTTATTAACTGAATAGTGTTCTTTTAAGCCCTTTTTTCGTTCTTATAGAAGGAATTTAGTAATTATTCAACAAAACTGTTCTAGATTTGCTCCAAAAGTCACATTCAAAGTTACCTTGAATTTTGGGTAACTTTGAATAAGATTAGCCTTCGATATGGAAACCGTAGATTTTCTAGATATTTTACAGTTTGTGTAAGATTATACGACATATTCATATTTTTTAGATGTGAATCTGTCCAAATATTCCTGACAGTGCGTTCAAAAACGACATTTGACTTGGTATTGCCATAATAAAACGACACGAACTAATTTAGTTGAAATAAAAAACTTGTTTTTTTCGATTTTTTAATTTTATTAATGCGAATAAAAATGAAAATTTTCTGTTTAATAATAAATTCTACGCTTATTTAGCTATCAAACGAGATCAAAATGAATCGCCCATAACAATTATTTTAGGCAAAATAAATACATAACAAAAATCTATTTACCCCACTCCTTGAATAAAATGTCGTCATCAATATAAATACGGCCGCTTTTTCTAGATAGCTGTGGCTCTTTTATAATATTCACAATATCGGCTTTATTAACTTGACATGTCTCAACGTTAGAGGGCCAAGACCAACCTCCTAAAAAGCATTTTTGGAGCACTGAGACAGTAATTTCCAAAGGAGTAACTTTTAGAACTCTCCCTGGAAACAGACTACCCTCTTCTCTAAAAACACAGTACGTATTGTTTCTTATATCTTGATCTATGCCGTTTCCTTTGCCTGTACGCTTCTCTGGAGTCACATCCACCAAAATGCCACTTGAATCATCTACTAAATATTCTTCAATAATTTCTTCTTCAACGATAACTTCGCTCTCTACTTGTAAAGCAGCTCCTCCTTCATTTACAACACATTCTTCCATTTCCTGAATTATATCTTCTTGTTGATTTGCAATTCTTTTATCGTCAACTGCACTACCTGATGTTATTATGGGTTCGGAAGGTTGGTGAACTAAAGCTTCAACTGCTACTATTTCTTCAATACCATTTTCTTGCGACTCATTTTCAGAACTTGTATAATTTGTTTTTCTGTTTTTAGTTTCTTCATTTTGCGCATCTTCTTTCTTGTCTTCTGCTTCTGTATTGTTTGTAGTCTTCTTTTTCTTTTTGTTCTTTGAAACCCACAGGTCTTCCTCGTTTTTTCGACTGTGCGCCAGTTTCATCTCCCGTTCCTTGTTTACTTTTGTGTGACTTGTCTCTTTCTTGATAATATTTTTCAACCTCCTCTGCTGATACACTTTTTCCCGCTGTCACTGGTAATTGAAATTTGCTTCCCTTTTTTACGAGCAAATCTTCTTTTCTTACTTCTTATATGAAGTTCATAAAATTTGTACCAACGGAATCACGAACATCAGCCTGAGACGTGTATGTTGGTAGCTTGTTCAAAACCGTTGAGGGAGAAAATGGATGGAAGCCACAGCTCCGAAATCCGGCTCTCACGTTGTCAGACGATGTGGCTTCGATGTGCTCTAGGGATTTTTGCACCAGCTGGGAGAAAAGTGATTTTGGGAGTACTTGTACTTTTTTTCCTCGGCTAGTCTGGCGGTAATCATTGAGGACTTTTCTCCACGCAATTTTAAGAGCTGAAAAATAACCTACATCGAGAGGTTGCAAGAGGTGGGTTGAATTCGGTATTAAGCAAATGAATGTAATGTTGTGTTCATTACAAAGTCGTAATGCTTTTGGAGATATATGGGCGCTAAGATTATCGCACAGCAATACCTTCCTACCATTTTGCTTCTCAACGTGTGGGAGAAAATGCCTTTCCAACCACTCTTCAAAAATTGAAGAATCGATCCATCCAGACTTAGATACTGACATTCTAGAACCAGAAGGAGCTTGAAATAGCCAATCTGACCACAGTTTCTTTCCTTGAAAAATAAAAAAGGGGGCAAAGCTTCGCCACTAGCGTTTGCGCAAAATACCACCGTGTAGCATGATTTAGTAGTATATTTTATTATTTCAGAATGGCGAGAATACCTACGGAAAAGCAATTTCTTTTTTCCGGGGTCGTCATGGAATCCCGACTCATCCATATTATAAATATTTTCTGGTGGAACTCCTTCTATTTCAGTAGCTAGGTTGTTGAAAAATTCTTCAATCATTTCCCGTGTGATTTGAGCCCTCTTTGTTGAAATATTACGGGCAAGTTTTTCTTTTAATTGAGGATTTCTTTCAAGGAATAGCACTCCCCATTCGTAGCCAGGAACATTGTTTTTAAATTGTGGTATTGTTATATTGTTGCTTTCTAAATAGTGTTTTACTATTAAACGGAAGTCCACCATACTCATAGGTATACCCAGATCGCTCAGTAGTAACAAATGGGACTTGAAACTCTCTTCTTCTTCTTTCTTAAATGTAATAGGCTTACCAACGGATTTATTGTGTTTCTCTTTTAATTTATTAAATAGTGTTACTGAAGGTATCTTGTAATACTTCGAAGCTTGTAGTCGAGACATGGCACCTGAACGTATTTTATTGAGGGCCTCTTCAAGAGTTTCAGAAGTGTAATTGCTTTTCAACCCATACTTCCTTACACCGGGGTTGACTTGAGATTTTCGAGGCATTTCTCACCTACAAAAAAAAACTAAATTTTCAATTGATATGTAGCAACACAAATGATTCAAAGTTTTAATGATAACGGGTAACTTTGAACCATTCAAAGTTACCCAAATTTCTCTGTTTGGTAACGTCGTCAAAATCTAATTCGTTTTACGCGTAAATACAAAACCAAATTAAATTATTCTTTAAAAAAAGCGATATATAAACCTCTACTTAAGTGTGGAAACCAAAACTTACCAGTCAATATTCAGATTTATATATTTAATTCCGATTCTAAAATTGAGCAACAAATCACACCAAACTACTTTCGCCAAGAAAAAACCGCGAAAGTTTAAAAAAATACAATTTGACATTACTTTTTTGTTTCATAACTTTAGTTTAACAATTTTGTTCCGATTTACACAGTTTCAATACTAAAAATAAAAGATTGCCATACATAAAATAAATTTTTAAATCGTTTACGCAACTACGTTCAATGTTACACCACGATTCAAAGTTACCCGAATTGACTGTACTCAAGAAGGTTACTTTTATTTCATTCACCTAATGTTTATGAGAGATGGTTCACTTTGAGAATCTAACATTCTTAGGGTCGTATTCCAGAACTCTACTCAATGCTCAAGTCGGGACTTGAGCAGATTTGAGTATGATTACTGGAAATACGACTCTAATCGCAAAGATTTTGAGTATGATTTTCAGTGCTCACTGCAATACTCAAGTCCTGACTTGAGTATTGCGTAGAGTTCTGAAATACGACCCTTAGAATGTCTAAGTAATGCTTTACACCTCCAGAGGTAAAAAAAAAAAAAAAATATTATATAGTCTAAATATTATTTTATTTTTAATGTGAACCATGCTTGCCTCAACTTGCAAAAGCAATCCTTATGCCGCTAGGCCGCGACGTCGTTACTGTAGTTGGTTGAAATTTGTGTTCTGTATTTAAGTAAGAACTTTACGTTAAAGATCAAATTGGCTTAAAAACTTTCTACAATGCTATTCACTAATGAGACGACCACGTAGTCATACCAAAATAAATTTTACGGCTCACGGGTTATAGATTAAGTTGGTTTAACAATTTTCTTCTCATTTTTGTGCTCAGAACCAAAAGGTCGACAAAGTCGGCTTGGCAAAGTGGGCAGGTATCTTGTGTATATAACTGTACATCCAGCACCAAAGAATATCCGAGAGATGAAAACTGTTATCATCGCTGAACTTGAACGTCGTATCAACAAATCATAAACAACTTCATTCAATGCATGCCACGAAGAATTGCAGAGGCGTCTCGGCAAGAGGAGGCTACACTCGATACTAATTTTCTCTATTACTTTTTAACTAAGTATTGCTTAGTAAAGGTCACTTTTTGTTTGTTGGAACGAGAAAGGAAGAAAAAACAAACAAATTAAGAAAGCTTTATTTACATACCAACAGTTTTTTGATTTTAGTAAATAATTCTACCGTCCACTAACTAAAACGCGGCTAAGTGGCAAATGGTCAAATATCACAAATTTCTCTTTTAAACAGTTAAAATCAATTACCGTGTTCGACTTATCGGAATTTACCCTAACGATGCATAGCCGAAAAATCATTAAACAATTTCAATATTCTAAAACTGGGATATGGTATTTTGCGAATACTAATGGTTGTTTTAGTTAGCGGACGGCAGAATTATTATTTTAGTTAGTTTTGTTGCATTAATATATAATTTTCTTAAACTAAGACTTAAAGTAGCATTCAAAGATTCATAGCTGCCCGTTATTTGTGCAAGGGAGTGTTTGTACTTACCGGCAGTTTAGGGTTAAGCATTTTGGCGCGGTCGTGGAAGACAAGCGCATGCGCAAGGCTAATTTCGCCCTCGAAGGTGGTTACGTCACAGTCGAACGTCACAGAGCCGTTGGTCGTTGAGCGAATGTTGCGGACATGAAGCACCGCTTGTTTGCTGTAAACAATAAATAATATGGCTTACCACTTCAAACACCTGGCGTCTACAAAATTGACTGCAGTTGCGATAGTTGCTACATGAGTCAGATGAAAAGAACTATCACTGAAAGGGTCAAAGAACATATCGCAGTTGTAAAAAATCGCCAATGTAATAAATAAGTGATAGTCGTCAGAGAAAATGAGTATTGAATTTCATCGTATACAGATTCTCTTCACTGATCGTTACTTCGTTTAGTCAAGTTGTATGTGAAGCGATTGAAATTAAAAAAAACATCCTAATAATTTAAATCGGGAGGACGGTCTCAAATTATCTGCAGCATCCGGTGTTTGCATAAACTCAATATTCGTGATCGACTGCTTACCAGAATACGGCTGTGATACAGAATAGGGACACCGTTAGCGTTGTGTGTGGCGTTCATAGTTATAGGAAAAAAGGGGAGTTTTGGTATGAGGGCGTGATTCGTGTCGCCTCGGTTGACACGCCTTCAAACATCGCTACAATCACATGGCGATCGTTGTACATACAAGATCTCTCGTAAAATGTGAAAATACCCAGTTGTTGCGATATAGCTTGTAAAAATTGAGGTGACAACAAAAATTTTAAAACCAGTCGGATAACATACCACCGGCTATTTGCATTTTTGGTTACTATTTCTTTTATTATTCAATGTTTTCTTTTTGTCTTCATAGAAATTTCTAGACACAAATATAGTGATGTTAATTAACAATGATTGATGTTTATCGACAATTAATTTTTACTGAAATGTTTGAATTTCTTACTATGATTTTTGTTATTAAAATCCCTAAAATGTCGAAGCGAAAAACATTCACGTTAAATTGATTTATTTTATTATTATTACTATTACTAAAAATTTTATTTCGAGTAACTAACACAACTCATATTACGGACAGCCGTTTCAATTTCATGTCAATTTGCATGTTGCTGTTGCTTGAAGAAAAATATATATGTATTATTGTTTTAGATAATTTAGATATTTAAATTTTTACATTATACTCGTAGATTTAACGTAGAGTATTTTTATTTTTTCAATGAGTTTAAAATAAAAGAAGATTGGATTGTAGTTGTAAGAAAATGGAAAGATTGGTTTTCTTATTATTATTTCTGACTTTGTTTAAATTTCCATAGCAAATGCATTTAAAAAATAAATAAAATAAAATCGCCTTTTTTACATGTGCATGCAAAATAATTGATAGGCAATTATAGAAAATTATATAAATCCTTCATAAAAAAACAACACAATTTAATTTATTAAATTTGTCGGTTCGAGTTTACACTTGACAGTGACAGCTTCATCGACCCGTGGTAACGTACATGGAAAGCTGACACTGGCGATGATCGCCATAATTTTTACATTACTCTTATAAAACGGACACTGGCCTAAGCCTAGTCGCCGCCATTAAGGAAGTAATAATAATTTATATTAATTTAATAATACACCAGTGTAGGCAGTGTTGGGCGTTAATCAATTAAATTTCAATCAATAATTCAATCAGATTAAAAAATCAATTCAATTTAATTGCAATTGATTTTAATTGCAATTGATTTCAATTGAATTGATTTTACTTGCAATTAAAGCAATTAAAATCAATTCCGGTCGGTTGGGGGCCCTGGTTGGGGGGCCCGGTTGGGGACCCGGTTGGGGGGCCCGGTTGGGGGCAGGTTGGGAGCCGCGTTGGGGGCCCGTTTGTGGGGCTCGGTTGGGGGCCCGGTTAGGGGGCCCGTTTGGGGGCCCCGGTTTGGGGGCCCCGGTTTGGGGGCCGCGGTTGGGTGGCTCGGTTGGGGACCTGGTTCGGAGCCATCAGGCCCCTTAACTGGCCCCTAACCGTGCCCTCAACCGGGGCCCCAACCGGAGCCCCAACCGGGGCCCCAACCGGGGGCCCCAAACGGGCCCCAACCGGCCCCCTAACCGGGCCCCCAACCGGGGATCCCAACCGGGGCCCCCAACCGGGACTAACTGACCCCCATATGCCCTATAAATTTATCATAATTGTCAGTTTTAATTGT